GAGTAGTAGTTCAAGGGACACTTTTGCGTCCTGTTCTCTTTCTTATCATGGTAAACGACTTACTTACTGAATGGCCTGATAGATGGAAATATGTCGACGACTGTACGGTCACCGAAAGTATCCCACCTCACTGTAACAGTAATCTCCAAGACCTAGTGGACTATATTTATAACTGGACTATCGCAAACAATATGAAGCTCAACGTTGATAAATGTAAAGAAATGGTCATTGACCAGTGGCACCTTTCTGGTCATTGACATTGATGCCTCTACTGATCAACGACGTACCAGTGAAACACATAGAATCAACTCGCATCCTCGGAATAACCTTTCAATATAATATGAATTGGAACGACCACATACACCAAATTGTTAGGAAAGCTGGAAAAAGAAAAGAAGAAAAAGGCTGAAAAGATCGAACGCCAATTTGAATATATTGCTCACAGTTTTCACTTCCATCATAAGACCTGTTTTAGAATATGCCTGCCAAGTTTGGCATTTTAATATTCAACAATACTTAAGTGATCAGATTGAGAAAATCCAAAAACGCACACTAAGAATCATATTGCCTTCATTAAGCTTTAGGCAGGCATGTGCACTGACCGACCTCCCATTACTCAAATCAAGATGTGATGAACTATGTGACCAATTCTTTGCGAAGAATGAAAGTAACAGTAAAGTTTACAAACATTTGATCTGTAAAACTTCGTTAGATTATGACACAAGGTCAAAATGTAAATATAAAAACTTTTTCATGTAAAATGACAGATTTAAAAACTCGTTTTTACCACAAACTATCTCTAAAGAAAATAGTAAATAGATCTATTGTATTTTAAAATTTTTACTATAACATCAAGTAGTTAATTCTTATTGTAAATATAATGTAGTTTTATATTGTAAAGACCGATATCAAAATATTAAAAAAAAAAATTGCCATCGCTCGAATATGAATCTCTGAATTCTGGTGTTTATTAAACCCTCTGCCAAGTTTCCACTGCTGTTTTCCATTTGAAAATCCAGTTTGGGTAAAGGTTTTCCCTTTAGCTGACTCTTTAGCAAATATTCTGCATGCATAACAAAAACTTGCATCAGCATTTTCTAAATACTCCAGCCAAGAAAATGAGTCATACCAAACGCATTGAAACGATCTTTCTCAATTGCCTTGCTTCTTTTTCGGGTAACTCTTGAGCAATGGCTTTGATAATGGTTGCGACTGAGAAAAAGCTGAAGACTGTCCCACAGAATGATATAACATCGTCGAAATTTTAAAACAAAATATTTGCGAAGATTATTTATGTAATGTGATTTATCAAAGTAAAATCTACTTTATCTAAAGTAGTTTAATAACCAGGAAACTAGAATTATTAGGAAGGTGTTAAGCTGTTAAGGGAATTTCCTAATACGATAA